TGTGTGTGCTTACATCTGAGATCAAATTTGCTACAGTGAAAAACCCCCTGTTGTAAAAAAATTCTTGCTGCAAACATAATTTCGTTGTAGAGGAGTTTCACTGTATTGATGGGTTCAGGCCACACTGTTGTCACACCTGTTACAGTATATAAATAATAGTAATAATAATAATAATAATAATGCCTACCTTTCAACCTTAATACCAACACATATTAAGGTAGAGTGGTCTATTCCGTTTTTTTTTTTTCACCAAGTACTAACTTGTACACAAAAGTCAACTCTACTTGTTGATTGAAGACTTTTCAGTTCTTCAATTCGAAATATGGGATTGTTGTTACCAGGTTTAGTTGGTTAACAACTGTTTGGTATAACAACAGGTTGTTCATCTGCCTGATGGTAAAATGGTGCCTTAGCGGTCATTTTATGCATGGGTTGAGACAATCTTTAGGGGATTACCTGTACTTGGATGACTGACAATCTACAGACTCAGTACAAAACAAAACAAAAAAAACATTTTTTGACTGCTATTTCACCCCGTACCTTAATAAATAACGGTAACAACCAAAGACTATTTGCAAGTAAGCAAACTTACAAATTCAGCAGGGGATCAAACAATTTCTGTCTTTTTTTCTGGTTTGTTTTGATTCCCATTGTCCGAAAAATAAAAAGTCTGATTACCTGTACACGTGGTTATAGTGTGACTAGCTCCACTGGGGGAAAAGGCTCAGCTACACAACCTTAAAGCATTTAAGTTCAAAGAGCAAAGCAATCAACTGTGTCTTCAATGTTGTGGCTTTTCAGGTTATGATGGGTGGAGGAAGGAAATACATGTTCCCCAAAAACACGCCGGATGTGGAGTACCCTACTGTCGAGAAGCACAATGGCACGCGCAACGATGGGCGGAACCTGGTGCAGGAGTGGATCGACAAAACCAAGAACAATGTAAAAAGAAAACAAAAGCCTGTTCCAAATGAGGGGAATAAATCAGAATAAAGGTTTTAAAATAGGGTTAGAAGAAGCGACGGTTGGAGTTTCAAATTTGAATGTCAAGTCGGGGATAGAGATCCAAAATAAGCTTAGGGTTCAAAAGGTGGGTATCAATCGATGGTTAGGGTATCAAGTTAGCCCGGATTTGGGTTTCAAAGTATGGTTTCAAGTGAGGGTCAGGGTTCAAGCCTGGGTTAGCTTTTCCAGCCGGGGCTAGTATTTCTAATTTGTGTTTCAAGACAGAGTTAAGGTTTTAAATTGGGGTTTCAAGCAAGAATTTGTGTTTAAAGCAAGACTCTGTGTTTTAAATTAGGGTTTCAGCAAGGGTTTGCATTCCTAATTCGGTTTTCATGCTGCGTTAAGACTTCAAAAAAAGGTTAAGGTTTCAAAGTAAGTCTGCAAGTCAGGTTTGGGGCTTAACATTAGAGTTTCAAGCAAAACTGAGGTTAGGGCTTTCAATGAGGGATTTTATTCCTTTATTTGATCTTGCTTATCCACTATACATGAGGTTGGTGCGCATTGCTCACATGCTTGCTCTCATTGTGCAGAAAGGCTATTACGTGTGGAGCAAGACTCAGCTTTTATCTCTCAACCCTGCCAATGTTGATCACTTACTGGGTGAGTTTTGCATGCAAGTTTCCCTTAGGCTTAGAATTACAGTTCAGTAAGTCCATCCCCTGTCCTCCCACTCTTAGGTCTCTTTGAACCGGCCGATCTGATGTACGAGTTGGAGAGGAACGCCGAAAGCGATCCGTCACTCACAGAGATGGTGGATGTGGCCATCAAGATCTTGAGGAAGAACCCTAATGGATTCTTCCTGCTTGTAGAAGGTGCGTTTGTGCAACCTTTTACAATTGTTAAACGAGCCCCTTGGTGTAAATTCAGTGGCACCTTGACTTACGAGTAACCAAACTCATTTTTCAAGTTCAAGTTGTGTGTGTGTGTGTGTGTGTGTGTGTGTGTGTGTGTGTGTGTGTGTGTGTGTGTGTGTGCGTGTGTGCGTGTGTGTGTGTGTGGTGTGCTCAGATTTCACCTACTCTTTACAAATGTCAGCTGGGATGGATTCCGGCGCAACAGAGACAGGATTAACCCATTCGAAAATGCATGGCTAGATAGAAACATACAAGGAAAAAGACTTCAAATAAATGTCAAAGTAAGTGACGTGATGGCCTGTCCTTCAGGCGGACGTATCGACCACGGTCACCACGGGGGCTTAGCCCAGCTGGCTCTGCACGACGCCGTGGAAATGGACCGGGCCATCGGCCGAGCAGGCCTGATGACCAGCATCTTCGACACCATGACCGTTGTGACTGCTGACCATTCGCACGTTTTTAGCTTTGGAGGTTACACGTTCAGAGGAAACAGTATTTTCGGTTGGCTATGAACTTGATTTCCATACATGTCGCTATACTGTCTGCATATGTTGGGGATATTAAGATGTGTCTCTTTCTGCAGGCTTGGCCCCTGAGGTTAGCGATGTTGACAAGAAGCCCTTCACCGCCATTGCATACGGCAATGGCCCGGGTTATAAGATGGTCGACGGTGAAAGGGAGAACATCTCCAATGTTAACTTTGGTAGATACCTCTACCTACGTTTATGGAATAATTTACACTTCTCTGAAAACGTTTCCAGGCAAACGTAATTTGCCCTTCGCTAAGGTTTTGAATGCAAATCAAACTTACATGGAGGTAAACAGCAAAATTGATAAGGCCAAACAAAAAAGATATTGTGTTTCCGGGAACATGAAATTTCAGCATAGGGTCGGTAGGTCGGACAAAGTTTTTTTTTTTTAATCTTTTTTTTTTTCCCATCAAAAATTTAAACAAAATAACCATAAAACATAAAACAAGAAGACATTGAACCCGCCGCTCCGCGGCCGGAGCCGGCACCACCTATTTAGTTTTCTCCCCGCTCCGGACTCAGGGGGCCGGGGCGCACCACCGCCTCTGCCGTCCTCCTCCGCCGTCCTCCTCCACCCTCGGTTTTTACTCGGCCCGTGGTGTTCATCAAATAGTTCGCTGAATTTTTTCGATACATCAATGGATGCTATTTTCTTAACATTACGGTGTGAGCATGCGACTGTAACACAGAAAACGCAGTTTAAACTGTCGTCGGAGATCGCGGCCGCCGCCATGTTTCAATGTTGTTGACAGACGACAGGGCAAACGACGCACGCGCTCAACGTGAATATCGCGAGAGTTTGCACCGATGTAAACCCTCTACACAAAAATGTAGAGGGTTGTTTGAAAAAAATGCCGACCGTAAAGTTTTTTTTCGACGTAGAAATTCTCGGTCGGTCGGGTTACCGGAAAAACACTACTTTTTTTTCTACGCCTAACAGGTGTTTGATTCTTGAATATTTCCAAGGATTTCCATTTCTATTCCTTTTTGTGACTCTTCCAGTCTCTCGAAATCTCTGTTGCAACTCCTGATGAATGCCATGTTGTGAGTTGTTGTCCACGCATTATTGGACATAATATTTTGGCAGCAAAAATGGAACTGCTCGCAAGACTAGCGGCGATAAGATTAGCCGAAGCTTGTGAGGCTAACCGCTATTGTCATCCACAACCAAATCCACAACTTTTCGTATTGTCGGACCTGTTCAGACTTATGAATACTGTGTCAACTTGTTGGCCTGATATTTTGGTGCTCCAGGGTTGGAGCCTGGCGGCGGCAGTATACAAGCGAGTTGAAAGGCCTTTTTAATGTGACCGATTCCAACACCAGATGCATTCAACCATTAAACACCAATGCAGAGTAGTTAACTCGACTTGTTGATGAATTAGTTCAAATCCTACCCTGTGGTGAAGAGGGGTTCAGTTTACAATTAATTAAAAAGTAAAATATCCTAATAAGTAACTGTAGACCATTTTGTAAAGCACATCTCTTGTCACCTCTCTGCTAAAAAAACAGCTTAGACCAGCATGGTTTTGTTGTAATTTTTTGTGCTAGTCCTTCTGGTCACCAGCAGCAAAAGCCAAACAAAACAGCCAAGATTCAAACAGCCCTGACCTTTGATCAATGAGCAACCCACTCTATGAAATGAGCCGAAGCTGCTCAGCAGGGGCAACATGGTGCTGGGGTCCTGCCGGGAGCTGGTGATACCTGACCAGTTGGAGTCTTGCTGGTGTCACCAAATACCAGCAGTGTAACAACAACATGTTGGACTTGTGGCTCAATTGGTGGAGGGGGTTGCCCAGTGACCCAAGGTTTGGGTAATCCAATCTTGGCTGTTGCGGTTGTTCTTGCACAAAACCAAAAACCATACTGGTCTATGCTGGGTTTTTTTTTTGTTTTGTTTTTTTTTGAGCAGTGTAAGTATTGGGTCTCTTGATAGCAGATATCTCTCATAAAGTGGTAATTGTGTGATGTGTTCCCCCCCCACACAGGGGACATCTACTACCAGGCTCAGTCTGCCGTTCCGCTCAGCTCAGAGACCCACGGCGGAGAAGACGTGCCTGTGTTCGCCAAGGGCCCGCTGGCCCACCTGCTGCACGGCGTGCATGAGCAGAACTACATTCCGCACGTCATGGCGTACGCGGCTTGCATCGGGAGCAACAAGGCACACTGCGCCCAAAGCGGCTCCATCTTTGATGACGCCACACGCCCCGTCTTCTCCAGCGTCGTCGCCACGCTGGCAGTCGTGCCGATTTCTGTGCTGACAGCAATGCGCCATTTGTGATTTTACCGCTGTTGCTCTTGTGCTATACAGCTCTTGATTTTATCCTTACGATAACACGAAGAATTTTCGGCCACACATGTCAAATATAGCATCATAGCGCCACACGTCATGAAGGTTGCCACATAATCTAATTCTCCCGTCACCCTTTTCCAATGGAATAGTTGTGGCATACGCGATAGTAATGTTTTCTGACCTTTACTTAGCCAAGGCGCATATTACATTACAAAATCCTTACACTACAGAAAAAAGTCTCACAAAAGATATGCTAAAATGATGATCTTCTCTGAATTTAGTGAAATATTGGCCTGGACACAAATGAATTCTGTGACATAAAGCAGGGGTCCCCAACCTTTTTTGGCCCACGGACCGGTTTAAGTCAGACAATATTTTCAGGGACCGGCATTTAAGGTGTGGCGGATTAATACAACAAAATAATATGGTATGAGCTGCATGAAAACTGTGGT